TAGTGCCTTTCGCGCCGCTTGTCGGCACTGTGCACTTGGTTTGAAATCAGCTTGGATCTTGATGATGATGATGATGATGGTGATATTGATGAAGATGATGATGATGATGATGAGGATGATGATGATGATGTTGTTGATGATGATGACGATTACGATGACGTTGAGCATGACGATGAAGATGAGGATGACGATGAGAATGATGATGGGGATGATGATGATGATGATGAGGATGATGATGAGGATGATGATGAGAATGATGATGAGGATGATGATGAGTATGATGATGAGGATGAGCATGAAGATGATGATGAACATAATGATGAGAATGAGGAAGAGGAAGAGGATGATGATGATGATGATGACGACGAGGATGAGGATGAGGATGAGGATTAGGATTAGGATGAGGATGGGGATGATGAAGAGAATGAGGATGAGGATCAAGATGAGGATGATGATGATGATGATGATGATGATGACGAGGATGAGGATGAGAATGAGAAGGACGATGAGGATAGAGATGATGACGATGATGATGATGAGAATCAGGATGAGGATGAGGATGCGGATGAGGATGAGAATGAGGTTGAGGATGAGGAAGAGAATGAGGACGATGATGATGATGATGATGATGAGGAGGAGGAGGAGGATAATGATGATGATGATGATGATGTTGATGACGATGAGGATCAGGCTGAGGATTAGGTTGAGGATGAGGATTAGGATGAGAATTATGATGAGGATGCGGATGAGGATGAGGATGAGGATGAGGATGAGAGTGAGGATGATGATGATGATGATGCTGATGATGACGATGAAAATGGAGACGAGAATGATGATGAGGACCAAGATGAGGATGACAATGATGAGGGGGATGAGGATGAGGATGAGGGTGAAGATGATGATGATGATGATGATGTTTATGATGAAGATGAGGCGGAGGATGAGGTTGAGTATGAGCATGAGGTAGAAAATGAGGATGAGGATGAGGATGAGAATAAGGATGATGATGAGAATCAGGATGAGGATGAAGACGAGGATGAGGACGAGGATGATGTTGGTGATGATGATGGCGATGAAAATGGAGATGAGAATGATGATGAGGACCACGATGAGGATGAGGAAGATGATGAGGATTAGGGTGATGATGATGGTGATGAGGATGCTGATGATGAGGATTATGATGAGGATGATGATGATGAGGAGGAGGAGGATGAGGATGAGGTTGAAGATGAGGATGAGGATGAGTATAAGAATGAGGATGAGGATGACAATGATGAGAAGGATGAGGATGAGAATGAGGATGATGATGATGACGATGATGATGATAAGGATGATGATGAGGATGATGTTATTGATGATAATGAGGATGAGGATGATGATCATGATGACGATGATGTTGATGATGATTACCATGATGAAGATGATGATGATGATGATGATGACGAATATGAGGATGAGCATGGGGATGAGAATGAGGACGATGATGACGATCATGATGATGACGATGATGATGATGATGATGAAGATGTTGATGACGATGAGGATGAGGCTGAGGATTAGGTTGAGGAGGAGGATTAGGATGAGAATTAGGATGAGGATGCGGATGAGGATGAGGATGAGGATGAGGATGATGATGATGATGAGGATGAGGATGAGAATATGGATGATGATGAGAACGAGGATGAGGATGAAGACGAGTATGAGGATGAGGATGAGGATGATGTTGATGATGATGATGATGATGATGATGTTTATGATGAGTATGAGGCGGAAGATGAGGTTTAGGATGAGGATGAGGAAGAAAGTGAGGATGAGGATGAGGATGATGATGATGATGAGAACAAGGATGATGATGAGAATGAGGATGAGGATGAAGACGAGGATGAGGATGAGGATGAGGATGATGTTGATGATGATGATGATGATGAAAATGGAGATGAGAATGATGATGAGGACTAAGATGAGGATGAGGATGATGATGATGATGAGGATGTGGATGATGATGATGATGACGATGATGTTGATGATGATTACGATGATGAAGATGATGATGATGATGATGAAGATGTTGATGACGATGAGGATGAGGCTGAGGATTAGGTTGAGGAGGAGGATTAGGCTGAGAATTAAGATGAGGATGCGGATGAGGATGAGGATGATGATGAGGATAATGATGATGATGAGGATGAGGATGAGAATATGGACGATGATGAGAATGAGGATGAGGACGAGTATGAGGATGAGGATGATGATGAGGATGAAGTTGATGATGATGATGCTGATGATGATGTTTATGATGAGTATGAGGCGAAGGATGAGGTTTAGGATGAGGATGAGTAAGAAAGTGAGGATGATTATGAGGTTGTGGTTGAGGATGAGGATTTGTATGAGGAAGAGGAAGAGGATCAGGATGAGGATGAGGATGATGATGATGATGATGATGATTATTACGTTGACGACGATAATGATGATGATGATGAGGATGAGAATTAGGATGAGGGTGAGCATTACGATGAGGACGAAGATGAGGATGATGATGAGGATGATGATGAGGATGATGATGACGATGATGATGTTGATGATGATCATGATGATGATGATAATGATGATGATGTTCATTAGGAGCAGGAGGAGGATGAAAATGAGGCTGAGGATGAGTTTGAGGATGAGGATGAGGATGAGGATGCGGATGAGGATGGTGATGATTATGAGGATGAGTATGAAGATGAGGATGATGATCATGATGTTGATGATGATGATGATTATGATAATGATGATGATGAGAATGATGAGGAGGATGATGATAATGATTATGGGGATAATGATGATGATGATGATGATGATGATGTTGATGATGATGAGGATGAGGCTGAGGATTAGGTTGAGGAGGAGGATTAGGATGAGTATTAGGATGAGGATGCGGATGAGGATAAGGATGATGATGAGAATGAGGATGAGGATGAAGACGAGGATGAGGATGAGGATGAGGATAAGGATGATTTTGATGGTGATGATGATGTTTATAATGAGTATGAGGCGGAGGTTGAGGTTTAGGATGAGGATGAGGAAGAAAATGAGGATGAGGATGAGGATGAGAATAAGGATGATGATGAGAATGAGGATGAGGATGATGATGACGATGATGATGATGATAAGGATGATGATGAAAATGATGTTATTGATGATGACGAGGTTGAGGATGAGGATGATTATGAGATTGAGGATGACGATGAGGATTAGTATGAGGATGAGAATGAGGATGGGGATGAGGTTGAGGACCAGGATGAGGATGAGGATGATGATGATGGTGATGATGATTATTACTTTGAGGACGATAATGATGATGACGATGAGGAGGATGAGAATTAGGATGAGGTTGAGAATTACGATGAGGACGAAGACGAGGATGATGAGGAGGATGATGATGAGGATGATGATGAGGATGAGGATGCTGATGTTGATGATGATCATCATGTGGATGATAATGATGATGATGTTCATTAGGAGCAGGAGGAGGACGACAATGAGGCTGAGGATGAGTTTGAGTATGAGGATGAGGATGAGGATGCGGATGAGGACGGGGAAGAGGATGAGGATGATTATGATGATGATGATGATGATGAATATGATAATGATGATGATGATGAGAATGATGAGGAGGATGATGATGCAGATGAAAATGAGGATGAGGATGATGATGATGACGATGAGGATGAGAGCGAGGATGATGATGATCATGATGATGATGATGTTGATGATGATGAGTAAGTTGATGATGATGAGAATGCGGATGAGGATGGTGATAATATGAGGATGAGGGTGAGGATGAGTTTGAGGATGAGGATGACGATGAGAATGAGCATGAGGATGAGGATGAGGATGATGATGATGATGAAGATGACGATGATGATGATGATGATGATGATGATGTTGATCAGGATGAGGTTGAGGATGAGGATGAAGATGAGGAAGAGTATGAGATTGAGGACGAGGATGAGGACGAGAATGACGTTGATGATGATGATGATAATGATGATGATGATGACGATGTTGACGTTGAAGATGATGATGAAAATGATGATGTTGAAGATGATGACGATGAGTATGAGGATGAGGCTGAGGATGAGGATGAGAGTGAGGATGAGGATGAGGATGAGGATGATGATGATGATGAAGATGTTGATGACGATGAGGATGAGCCTGACTATTTGGATGAGGAGGAGGATTAGGATGAGAATTAGGATGAGGATGCGGATGAGGATAAGGCTGAGGATGAGGATGAGGATGATGATGATGATGAGGATGAGGATGAGAATAAGGATGATGATGAGAATGAGGATGAGGATGAACACGAGGATGAGGATGAGGATAAGGATGATTTTGATGATGATGATGATGATGATGTTTATGAGGATGAGGATGAGGATAAGGATGATTTTGATGATGATGATGATGATGATGTTTATGATGAGTATGAGGCGGAGGTTCAGGTTTAGGATGAGGTTGAGGAAGAAAATGAGGAAGAGGATGAGGATGAGGATGAGAATAATGATGATGATGAGAATGAGGATGAGGATGAAGACGAGGATGAGGATGAGGATGATGTTGATGACGATGATGATGATGATGATGATGATGGAAATGGAGATGAGAATGATGATGAGGACTAAGATGAGGATGAGGATGAGGACGTGAATGAGGTTTAGGATGAGGTTGCGGATGGGGATGAGGATTACGACGAGCACAAGGATGATGATGAGGTTTAGGATGAGGGTGAGGATTATGTTGAGGATGAGCATGAGGATGAGGCTGAGAATGAAGATGTTGATGACGATGAAGATGACGAGGATGTTGATGATAATGATGATGATGATGATGATGATGATGATGATGATGACAATCATGATGATGACGATGATGTTGATGATCATGATGATCATGATGATAATGATGATGATGATGATGATGATGAGGTTGAGCATGAGCATGAGGATGAGGATGAGGATGAGGATGATGAAGATTATGATGATGATGATGATGATGATGATGATGATGATGATGATGAGGATGATGGTGATGATGACGACGATGGTGACGATGTTGATGAAGATGATGATGATGATGACGATGATGATGATGACGATGATGATGAAGATGATGATGTGGATGAGGTTTAGGATGATGTTGGTCATGAGGCTGACGATGAAGATGAGGATGAGGATGAGGTTGAGGATGACGATGATGATGAGGATTAGGATGAGGATAAGGATGAGGATGAGGAAGAGGATGAGAAAGAGGATGGTGATGATGATGATGATGATGATGAGGATGATGATGAAGATGAGTATGATGATGAGAATAATGGTGAGGATGAGGATGATGATGAGGATGAGGATGAGAAAAAGGATGAGGATGAGGATGATGATGGTGATGATGATGATGATGATGATGATGAGGATGATGATGTTCTTCTTGATGATGACGATTACGATGAAGTTGAGAATGTGGATGATTATGAGGATGAGGATGAGGATGAGGATGATGATGAGGATGATGATGAAGATGAGGATGAGTATGTGAGTGGGGATGAGGATGATGATGACGATGATGATGATTATAAGGATGATGATGATGATGATGACGATAATGATGATGATGAGGATAGAGATGAGGATGAGGATTAGGATGAGGATGAGGAGGATGATGATGATAAGGATGAGGATGAGATTGAAGATGAGGACGAGGATGAGGATTAGGAACAGGATGAGGATCAGGATATTGATGATGACGGTTATGATGATGATGACGACGATGATGTTGATAATGAGGATGAATATGAGGATATGGATGAGAATGAAAAAGACGATGAGTTTGAAAATGAGGATGATGATGAGCGTGCCTTTGAGAAAGAGGATGAGGATGAGGATATTGATAGTGAGGATGATGATGATGCTGATGGTAATGACGAAGATGATGAGGATGCGGATGAGGATGAGAATGAGGATTATGATGAGGATGATGATGAGGATGATGATGAGGATGCGGATCAGGATGAGAATCAGGCTGAGGATGATGATGATGATGATGATGAAGACGATGATGATGATGAGGGTGATGATGATGTTATTGACGATGACGATTCCGATGATGTTGAGAATGATGATGATGATGATGACGATGATGATGATGATGATTATGATGATGATCAGAATGATCATGAGCATTATAATGAGGATGTGATATTGTGGATGAGGATGAGGATGATGATGGTGATGTTGATGATAATGAGGATGAGGATGAAGTTCAAGATGATGTTGATGATGATGATGATGATGACGAACATGAGGATGAGAATGAGGAAGAAGATGCGGATCAAGATGATGATGAGGATGAGGACTAAGATGAGGATGTTGATGAGGTTGATGATGAAGTCGAGGATGAGTACGAAGTTTAGGATGATGTTGATGACGATGAAAATGAAGATGATGATGAGGATGATGATAAGGAATAGGATGAGGATGAGGATGATGATGAGGAGGAGAATGAGGTTGATGATAATGATGATGATCAGGATGATGATGCGGATGAGGATGAGGATGAAAATGTTGAGGAGGATGAGGATGAGGACGAGGTTGAGGATGAGGATGAGTATGGGGATGATGATGACAATGATGATGATGATAAGGACGATGAAGATGATGAAGATGATGATGATGATGTTGATGATGAT